GGGTAGCCCCGCGGCGGGGGTCCGGGGGTGAAACCCCTACCCCGGCTTGGGCCCCGGGGATCCCCGCGTGACAACCGTGCCGACAACGAGCATCCCAAAGACAACGAGAAACAGACCCAATGAAGAAAACAATGTTGAACTCAGAAAGACAGTTGAATATTGTCTTATGTTACCAAATACAATCGCCATAAAATGAAATACAGTTAAAGAATTTTGTACAAGTCATTGAAAACTGTCAAAGACAACGTCCTTCCAAGAGACATGTTGCCAGTTGTCGTCTAATAACAGGCAAATCTTTACTCAAGAATCTAAAAGGGGGTCGATCACCACGTTGCAACAGCGTTGCAAATGTCAACAAGAACACCCCGCAACTAACTCCATCCACTTGCCTTGGAACTCCTTCCACAACAATTTTTCTAACCATAGTTTTCCAACTCCTATCCGACCGGTTATGTGAGGTATGACATTCTAAATACTGTACAATCAACTCGAAAACACTAAGGTAGAAACTGGAATCGGCTTTAACGCGAGGAAAAGAGTTAAAAATTTCGAAGACATTGTCTCTCAAATTAACGGAAAGGAGGATTCAGTGATCGTTATGTTTGTGCACCGGAACGAAGATCATATCGAACTGAAGCAGATCAACGTTTTTAGCCCACCTCTCCACCCCAGTGTGTCCTCGAAGTTGCAGCATACTGAAGAAGAAAGAATTGAAGCTGAAGATTCGAAGGCCTGATGGTCGTGCACGTGTCGAGGATGCCGTCGACCACAAAAGGGCCATGTAGAAATTCACCACCCCATCGTTGATCTTGCCATTGGCTTGCAAAACGGTGAGCATATCTTTCGCCGTGATTTTGAATTGATCATCCGCAAAGGAAGAGAGGACATGATGAAGAGGCACCACGCTGCAAGAAACATCGTCCATAACCCGCTAGACTTGAGCCGCAATCGCCGTAGCGAAATGCCCCCCCCAGGCTGCAGGTGTTGTGTCCCAAGCTGCACATCATCGACCAACGCACAGACGGGGAAGTGATAAAGGAAGTTCTAAAGGTTGTCGTTCACCGCACGACACGTCGCTAAGTATTTTTCATACATGGCCTGACCCCTAGTCACAGATTGTGGATATGTCCCCTTCTCCGCAGGTAGAAGGGAAAGACATTCGTCAATGGCTAAGGCATGCTCCTTCTCTCCAATCTCGACATCAACCCCTGATGCCTTTAACATATTCTTGTTTCTTGTCGTGAATCTCGGAATTTTCTGCAATACACGTGCCGGATATTTCGAGAAACTCCTTTTTCGAGATGACCGGACCCCTGTAAAACAGAGAACAGACAGAACCCGAAATGAATATATGATTCCCAGGAGGAGTTGTACGAAAGCGACAATGTGAAAGATAATGTAGCCCACAAGATGATGGACTTCTCCAACTAGCGAACTCATATTTCGCAGCGACAAGCATGCGTGCATACGGACATAAAACGACAAGCACTGTCGAGCCCGAAACCCCAACACATGACGACGAAGACCACATCAGGCCAAAGAAGAGGAATGCCTACCAATGCTGAAGTTCGGATTTCGGCGGACTTGCAGCTACAACTAGCAGACACGGACCAGCCGGGTTTGGTCCTGACACTGGAACTGCGGTGACCGGAGGAAACCGGAACTTCGAAGGGTATGTTTTCTAGTCCGCCGGTATCCGCACTACAAGTGTCGACCCGAGGTGGGAAGTCGGCATTTGCCGATGTGCGGATTCCAGCGGACTTGCAGCCACAGTTCGCAAACACCGACCAACGGGGTGCGCTCCACCTCCCGCCGGCACTTGTAGTTCGGATGCCGGCGGACTTCAGAACAGACCTTCCGTATTACCGTTTCTCTGGCGGTTTCCTCAGTTCCAAGTGTCAGGACCAAACCCGGTTCTGCGACCTCACCCGCTGGTTGTAGCTGCAAGTCCGTCGGGATCCGAACTTCGGCATTTGTAAACATTCGTCTTCTTTGGCATGATGTGGTCTTTCGTCGTCATGTGCAGGGTTCTCGGGCTAGACTGCGCTCGTCGTTCTATGTGCGAATGCACACAAGCTCGTCGCTGCGAAATACGTTTATCGGACGGTCTATCTTGTAGTCCGCCGGTATCTGCACTACAGGAGTCGGCCAGAGGAAAAAAGTCGAGACGGCGTCAGAGAACTTGTAGAGGGAGGAGTGGATGAGCGGTCGCAGAATAAACCGTGATGGTGTGTTAACGAATAAGAGGCCAATTGGTCCTCGCTGACAAGTGAAGCGGAATTTTGTCCATCTGACGTGGGGCATAAACCGACAAGGGGGTTGACAGACAGCGTCGACAATCCCGAAACGCGGGAGTGCTGACATCGCGACGATCGTCAATGCTTACCAGCTTGTTTTTCTTTCTGCTCCTTCGTCGGTGACGTGGGCGCTGGTAAGGCGAGGACATCCAGGGCCGGAGTGCCGACCCTGCACTTTTTTGGGAACGTGACGTGCTGGCGGCCGCCAACACCCGCCCCCCGTCCTCCTGTGAGCGGTGACCAGGGTACCGGAAAGCACGACTGGATGAGCGCCAAGTCCCTGGCCGCAAAAGTTTCGTTGCTGACAAGGGCATCGTCTTTTGACGGGGTGGACGAAAGTGTTTGAACTTGCTCGTCGCCCATTATGCTATCGATGACCTCGTTGACGCTAAGACGGCGAGTCGTTTTCGCCGGGCTCACTGTCATGATAGCCTTGTTGCACCCGTCGGGGGGATGCACCGCAGTGGCCAGGTGGTGGGCGTCATATTCTTCGTGGTCCACGGAAAGGCCACTAACCACCTGCGTCTCCATCTCCATCGCCGTCATGTCGTCGTCGATATCACCTTCACCTGGTCTGGCGTACACCAGACCGAATGAATCAGATGTCTCCCCACAGACATCCTCGTCTCCGGCATCCACCCTTTCCTCGTCTGTAATACTGAGTCCTCCTTCTTCACCGTCTTCCCCGTCGTGCAATGTAATCAACTACTTCTCTCGCCCTTCGTCTCGTTCTCCCCCCTCCTCCCATTCTCCCCCTTCTTCCCGCCCTCGACTTCCACCCATTCTTCCCCCCCATCAGTCTCACGCGACTCGGCTCCTTGCAGCCGCATCAAGGCGGATCCCAAGGAGCGGTCATTTGTACGAACAGACGTAGCACCTTCCTCCGTCCCTGCCTCATCCGAATGCAGGCACGTCACGGACGAAGTATGGATACCGGCGGACTTCGTCGCAAGGAAGGCGGGCGGCGCTGCACAAGCAATCTCTCTCTGTGACTCCGCAGATCGGCCTTGTCCAAGGGCCGGCAGCGTCGCCTCCCGCACAGCCAAGGCGACGCCCATCTTCGACGCCTGTGCTCCTGTAGAGCTCCACTGGACCGGTACACTCGCCTGAACGTCGTCCGCCTTGGTAGGGATGCCCGCGGACTTGCCCTTCACGGCGGAGACTCCCCTGCACATGACCCCGCCCCACTTCACCGAAGGAGCCGAGAGCAGTCCACGAGGGAAGGGCCGCCTGCTCCAGAGTCGTCGAAGTGCGGATGCTGGCCGACTTAGCTGCCTCCACGGGCACTGGTTCCTCCGTCTGCGAAATTCGGATGCGGGCGAACTTCCCTGACTTGCCGCTCCCTGCTGTTGGGGAGTGTGTGACGTTCACCCCCCCATCCCCCACGCCGCTGTGCGCGATCCTACCCTGACCGCCAGTGCCAGACGATGATGTCGGCGCGCTTCCCCCTGATGTCGTACGGCCACTGCCTCCGCCACCTCCTTCCTCGTGGCCATTGCCTCCCCCCCCTCCGGCCCCGGAGGGACTCGGAGGTCCTCCTCCCACACTACCCTGGGTCCCTGTCAACGGGGGTACTTTCCAGTTCACCTTTTTCTTCGAAGGGCTCGTCTTGAGGTCGTAGAAATTGTCAGAGAGTTCCAACCACTGCTTGTCATGAAGTTCTCGAAACAAGCGATCAGCAGTGGCAATGATGGCCGGGTCGGCGGGCTGCAGGTTGCTGTTCTCTGACGTCACTTTGTCCACCACAACACTCCTCGCGATATCCAAGTAGTCGCACTTGACCAGGCGCTAAGACGACTTCCATTCCCCGTCAGTGTCGACTATGGCCATGACCCACTCCCCCTTCCGAATTGCGGGCTGGATCGTCCCCGGGTGCCAAATCATGTCATGACCCCAGTCTGCCTCCGTGGAACGCGTGTGGTCGTGCCCTTCGAAGTGGATGTTCTCATCCTTCTGAGAAGGATGTTGCAGGGGGGCTTGACACCCTGGTCGCAGAGGAGGAGGCGCAGCAGGCCGAGGTGTCAATCTCGCCAACAGCTTGCTAGGGGTCCTCCGCACGGGCGTTGCTTATGCGGGCTGGTTTGTTGAGGGACTCGCCAACGAGGAGGCCGGGGATGGGAGCACCGGAGCAAGGCGGTAGTCGATGTCAATTTCCTTGGTGTCGCTATCCTCCTCAGGTGCACCGGTGTCAACACCGGTGAGGGACTCTTCGTCGGCGTCGATCAAGGCACCGTAACTCTCGAGCCTCAGAACCGGCTCGGATTCGACAAAGTACAATAACTCCAGTCGGTCCAGGAAGTTCTTCGCGTTCAGGCGTGTGGCACCGTGATAGTTGTCTAGCAGCGCCAACATGTGTTCCTTGCGGCGCATGTACTCGATGTCGGTGCCCCTCGCAGGCCGCTTCTCCAAGAAGAGGAACTCGTAGATCCTGCTCCTTTTCCGGGCGCTTAGCTTGAACCACATGTCCGTCGAAGGATCCCAAACGCGTCTCGGCTTTTCACTCTTCGTAATGAACTCGCAGCGGTATGCTCCCGAGTTGACCGCGGTTTTCAGAAAATCCAACGTGAATTACAACCACTCCGAATTCCCCTCCAACGTGATGACGTTGCGACCACCCTTCAAAACCTCCCACACGACTTGTGCATGCGCTTTCCCGAGGAACATGATGTCGTCCCCCTTTTTGCAAAGGAATTCCAGCAGATGGGCGAATTGTGTGGGGTTCCGCCCATGGCCCTTGTACACCACGGGATCACGCCCATGTATCACGACGGGCCATTCAGAAGCGTCGAACGACATGTCGGATGTCTCAGTGGGAGTCACTTTCTGAAGTGCCCCTACCGCGGCAGCATCACCCGCCGCCAACCTCGCGTCGTAGACAACAGATGTATTCTCCCGCAAGTCGTCGCCTTTGAAAAGGATGTACATGCGGTCGTCCAAGGAGTACAAGTTGTGGCCGACACCGAAACTTTTCTTCTGCCGCGTCCTCCTCACCCACTTCCCGACCATTGCCTTCACGACGGACAGATGGTGCAGGCTGGTCATGAAGTAGTAGTCGTGCTCTCGGGGGACGAACGCGACTACTGTCCAGTGCGAGGGGAACAAGTGCTCCAGGAGGGCATTCAAACTCTCGAAGACTTTAGCTGTCCACTGTTTGATGTCCACCGGTTCGCACAAGTCGAGAACGCACGTGTCGCATCTCGTGATTCCGACCGCCCTCTCCAACTCCGTGACCTTCATCTGCGCATCCAGAGGGTCGACGCCGAATGGGGCAATAGTTGTGACGTCCTTCGAGTCGTTCCACAGAATGTGCACCATCCCTTCGGCCAGCGCGACTTCCATGCTTTTCGACCTGCTGCCGGTCAACATGAAGAGGACCTTGTTCTTCCAGTCGATGGGCAACTTCTTGTTTTGGACTAGCTTTTTTGTCGCCTTGATCGACTTGTCGTCCTCGCAACCCATGTAGGGCGGACAGTCCTTGAACAAGGAGGAGTCGATGACAAGTTTCCTGCTCCCGTCCCACAACGCTGCATCCAGCCCCTGCCCTTCGAACTTTGCCAAAATCGCCTCTCGTTTTTTCAGGAAGGGGTACTTAGTGGTCCAGTCACTATCTGGCCGGTTCTCATGCTTGAACTAGTAGTAGTTCCACAACCGCACCAATATGTGATCGCACTTCACCAGTTGCACTGCCTCGTACATCCCCAGCTTCCCTTGCTTGGCCAACGCGGAGGACCCTGTCTGCACCCAGACCACCTCGCAGTTGAGAACCTTCTTCAACAACCGACATTTCTCGTTGTCGGTAAGGGCCTCCATGCTCTTCCAGCAGTGCGGATCCGGCTCGGTGACCTGGACGAACCAGTTGCCTGGCTCTTGTTCCTTCTTGCCTTTCTTTTGTGGCGCTTCGACGGGGACATTGTAGACGACCACCTTTTGCCCGTCCTTCTCATTTTCGATGTGGCTCACACCTGGCTTGAGGCCCTGCACCTTCTTCTTCTTCGCGATCCACTTCGCTCCTTCCAGTGCGAGCAGTCTGCCCGTTTCCGATCTCTCGAAAAATTCCATCCCGGTTTCCCATGCGCTTTTCCCTGCCATCGCGAGCGGGAAATAAGATCGAAGGGCAGCGTTTTGTTTCTTGATACCTTGCTCAGTCTTGTCATCGGCGAGAGTTCACAAGTAATTGTACGGCGTCTTTTGGAGCGCCTCCGCACAAAATCTTCGCCATGCCTCCACCTGCGCCTGTTTCCCGCTGGGGTTACCCATAACAGCTTTCGGGTAACCCATTCCACTGAATGTCTCTCATGGAGAGTTTCAACTGTCTCGGAGGGGCCTTCAGGTCTTTCTTGTTGTCCTCGGCGCTGACCAGAAAGTACCCCTCAAAGTCCTCGTCCGATAAATACACCATTCGTGCAGGCCAGCGCTCGAAGTTGTACCTCACCGCCACATCGGTGCCAAGCAGCGGCCTGGCCGCAGCCGCGTTATGCTGGCCCGCCACAGCGTAGTAGTAGCCCTGCCAGCTCGTCCTTCCAGTCCTCCGACTTCAGACGATCCGCCCGCACCCCGGATGTCGGTTTAACCAGCCCTAGAGGCGCGAGCTTTAGTGTCGGCAGCTCGTAAGTCTTCTTGGTCTGAGAGTAGGTCATCGTCATTGTGTCAATAATGGCCTGTATTTGCACGAGATCCAAGGAACGCTGGTTGTATGCCGCCTCCCACTCGCCGATGTCGATGACTTGCGACGTGTTAATGGAGAACTCCCACTTTGTTCGCATGCCGTTTTTCCATTCTAGGAAGTATGCCGCGTCGATGTCGATGACACCTCTGGGCTGGACAGGGGCCGACTGGGGTGGCTTCAAAGCCGAGGCTGGGCGCTTTTGACTCGACGCGCCGACATGCCCCTCAGCTCCCTTCCTTTCCCCCCCTAACTGTTGTGAGGTCTTTGTCTTCTGTTTCTTTTTAGCTCCCGACGCCTCCCCCTCAAAACCTCCCCTTCTCTTTTGTGTAGATTGTTGTTCCCCTCCCTCCCCGCCGAAAACGACGCCAACCGTCCTGTCCTCCGACCCCAAGGCGCGACCGCCACTCGACGTCGACGGCTGCTCGACGACAGTTGCCCCTCTCTCAGACCCCGGAATTCTCAGCGTCCCGCGATCTCCAAGTCTATGCGGCGAAACACGCGTGTCCTCCTCTTCTTCCTCCTCGCTGCCATCGAAGCGACCGCGTTCCTCACCGTGTTGGGGCTGTACTGAACCACTGGAAACGAACCCGGAGCACATTTGCACAAGAAGCAACAGTTCCAGGTCACTCGAAATTTGGCAGGGATCGTCGAGGTCGAATTCGCTCTTCTCGACCTCGTCAAAAAACTCCTTGGCCGAAACAAGACCTCCCTCCGCGACTTTAGTGTAGAAAGGGGTCCTCAAAGCCCCCCCACCAAACCCCTGGAACAGATCCCACGAGAGAATCGCCCCTTTCGCACCTGCCAGAATGTCACCCTTCGAATTGTAAACGACATGCATCAGGTAGCACTGCTTGTCGTGTTTTTTCGATGGCTGGCATCCCTTGACCGAGCCGAGCAATCTTCGTCCTTTTCTATCTTCCACGAAGATGACAGGACCGCAAGGCGGTTTCATGGGCTCGTCATCTTCGGCGAAGCACCAATCGACGAACCACTTCGTGTGCGCATGATGCGACCACGATTTTGTGTCCATCGACTCCCTCCCCAAGGTCCCCGTAGGCTGCTCCTCGCCTCTTGACGTCAACATTGTGTCTGCACCAGACGTAGCGGAGGATGCATTCGAAAACAAACAACACCGCCAACAATTAGCAAATGGGGAACTTCGGATACCAGCGGACTACAAGCCGGACAAATAGAAAAGCAGAACACCGCAAAGGGAAAAGCAGGTGCGATGGCGGCGAGCGAACAGCGTAGAGGGGAATGGTGGTTGTCGACAGTTAGCGCGCAAACGGGCAGCTTTACAACTCTTTATAGCATATGTTAGAAGTTCGGATTCCGTCGGACTTCAGCAAATGTTGATGGGGCATTGTGACAGGGTCCGACCTTGTTCCACCAGAATCTGAGGCAGACGGTGCATGAAGTTCCGACAGAGAAAGACGTGTTCACGTAGTTCGGATGTCGGCGAACTTCCTATCTTACAAGCATCATAATGGTCGACAATTGTGCACGGTGATTGTGCATCATTGGGAATCAACTGGCTGCCAGACAGTGTGCAAATGCCATAACGCGAGAAACCGTGCCGGAGGGCAGTTCCGTTCGCGAGGTGCGAAACTCCGCTCGAAACAGACCCACATCAAACAAGAAGGTCCACCGAACTGACCACAGTTGCGAATGAGCATCCCGAAAAACTGCACGAACAACTGATAACTTGCGGGATCCGGGGGGGTGTTCTGTTTGTGGAGTGCGAAACTCTGGTCGAAACAGACCCTGATCCAACAAGAAGGTCCCTAAGAGTGCAGTTGGCCATTCGCGACGGCAACGAACGACTGTTTGGCACATCTTGAAGGTGGTTGCGCGACAACCGCGTCGGGACGAAAGCCTTCCCGCACACGTGTGTCCGGGTCAGTGACGCATCGAGTTTCTTTGAAGCTCGGATGGGGGAGGACTTAGAATGCGAGTAGATAAAGAACGGATCCATATGCTGGTCCGTGAATTACCTGGACTGCAGTCGCTTCCTCACGCAACTCGACGAACCGCAGAGCGGCCTTTGACACACCCACGCATCACCCGAAATGTGAAGTTCGCCGGGGCCAACATCCGAGCGCGGATGAACCGAGTCGTCTGGGCACGGGCGGACACGGGCCGTTGTCGCATGGGGCCGCGAGAAAAAACGACAGAGCAATATGAATCCGCACTTGTGCGGTCACCGGAGGTGCGCCATATAATTTCTACTATCAACTACTGCCTCTCACACCTCTCGCTCCTTTTCCCTCAAGCACGAGGTCTGACACCCCGTCCAGATCTGGTTACATTCGGGGTCCCTCGGGGACGAGGTCGTGACCCGAAGCCATACATAGCATTCATTGGTGACCCGTAAACGTGGATCTGCGGTTCTTTGACTGATGCATTCTCCGAAAAGACGGACATGTATTTCATCCGAACGAAAACTCCAGGTCGGGCTAAGGAATTCCCAATACAGTCCCATATGTCAGACACTTTGTCTTTCACTTCATGCCACAACGAAAAGTTTTGGGCTGCTATCAGGAGATCCGGCCACCCATCTACACATTCTGGCCCGCGCTCTTCGACGAATTTGGACCCCTCAATTACCACCTCGTTTCGTGACACAAGCACAACTGCATGGACGAGTTTCCTACTTTTGTTGCAAGTGGCGACACACAACACTCTGGCGAAATTGGTACGGGATACAGTCAACCTCACACAACAGTAAGACACAGCTTGTGGAGAAAGACAAGGGCAACGGAGCGGGTAGTGCTCTAGGAACGAGCAGTGATGAGCGCAGTCCAGCAACTCTTGTTTTCGCGAGCCTGTCCACGTGCGTGGCGACGACGTGACGTAGTGACACTCTAGGCGACTGAAATGGCGGCTAATGCAACTCAGTGTTCTAAGCATACGGCTTAGGAACTTGTATCCGAGGACAGCGTCAGACCGCGTGATGAGGTCTCCAAACTCCAACATGTTGGCGAACTTGTAGTGCCTTGCCCAAGGGCATCGACTCTCCATCGCAGCCCAATTGACATCGTGCCAACCATCAAGATGCCCGTCCATGCACGGGACGACGGTCATCCATGGGTCCTCTTTGAAGTCCTCTTCGGTGGCTCCGTGGATCGAAGTCACGCCTTTGAAGTGCCTCATGGATTTCGCACAAGGAGGAAACGGTTCTGCCAAGCGCATGTGCGTCTTGGGACTCATCGTCTCCGGTGTCGAGAATATCGAATGCATGATCCGTGGTGTCGAGAATTTTCCTTCCATTACGCACCCTACACACCACGGACACATATAAAATGAAACACACGGCCACGTATACAGTCGTAAACGAAGTCGGCAAATGGCCACTCCCTTTTGCCACGCCTACACCCAGTCGGTAGGTCACGAACTGTATATTCACGACGTTCCACACACTTTCAAGTACTGCACATGCACAGGGGAATGCGGCCCAATGACAGGGGACCCAATGACAGGGCGGATGACAGGCGGAAACCTGATGTTGGCGACACCTGTCTACAACACGTTTAACATCCTGATTCGTACACACCCCACAGATGAAGCTACGGAAAGTTGAAGTCTGTGCATGGAAATTATTCGAAGTCAATTCAAAAAAACATCGACAGATGCGGGTCGAAAATGCACGGTCTCAATGCGACGAATGGTCAAACCGAAGTGTTTGTAGGAAAGCGAAGTTCGGCGGGATCCGAACTTTGAGAAGGTGCGAGAGACTGGGAGATAGAGAGCTCACCGCTACAACACGTTTGTAGGAATGCGAAGCAATTGCTGAATTCCACTGCCGAGGAGGAAACCGAAGTCTAGCTAGAAGAAGGTCGATAATTGGTAGTCTGCCGGCATCCGAACTTGTGTCCTTGATGCAATTAACGAGCCGCCGGAAACACCAAAGTAAGAACCTGCATCATACGGAAATGCGAAGTTCGCCTGGATCCGCACCTGTCATTTGCGCCAATATCCGTCCCTGCGTGCTTTCTGGAATCATGGCGCACAAGGACGGCCACAGTCTCAAAGGTGGCCCGACGAGAAGGCGGTTTTACAGTATTCTACGCGGCCAACGTCCGAAGCTCCGATCCGGGCAAGCGTGGTCGATGACTGAATTTCGGAGCCCCTCGAAGTTCGGATACGGGCGGACTTGGTTATTGTTCAAACCCAAGGGCAACCAGGTGAGCCACTGACAGGGCTCGTCCATAACTTTGCGAGAACTCGTGAGAGAGGCAGACACGGTCTGTCGAGCTCTCAGTCCCGCAGTATCTTGAAGTCCAGATTCCGGCGGACTTCGCATTCCAGCACATCAAGACAACAGCTCAAGTTCACCCGCACCCGAACTTGGCGCGCTTCCAAACGGTCGTCGGCCTTTTCACGCTCCGAAAGTCTCATGTCTAGCGATCGATCGTCAGAAGAAGTTCGGATACCGGCGAACATCGAGTATTTTTCATGCCGCCTTCGGTCCTTTTATGCGCATGCGGTACCGGACAGGCTTGCGTTGCTGTGCGAATCGAGTGGTTCATGAGAGGGCGAATGGGAATGGGAAGTTCGCCGGGATCCCGACTTCGTCGGGTGGTGGGTTTTTTTATCAAATCCATATCAGGGTTCGATTGCTGAGGTTCGATGGCCGACGAGGTTCGATGGCCGACAAAGGTTCTATGGCCGACGAGGACCAATCGAGCGCTGCAAGATCTTCGTTCAACCAGCGATCAGATCGAACCCCCGTCGGCCACCAAACATTCGTTCCGATTGTACACCAGTCAGTTTCCAACGATTGATCGACTGCAGGGCGGATGTGTCGTTGATGGACATTCGTTGATGGAACGATCAGAAAAGAAAAAAAGAAGACAGTGTCGCTCCGTTCTTCATTGCTGGTTTCGTCTTCCAATCAATCAAACCGTGTCGATGGAAATCATTCACTCAATCAAATCAACCATGTACCAGCAGTCCATTCTTCCGAATTCGCTCATCGTATCGATGGGCGTGCCGTCTCGCCAATATATTGCCATGTGCTGGTTGAGAACTCGTTCCGATTTTGCTCATCTTGCACACAAACACAGACTGACATTGCCACGTTTCAGGAGATTGGAATGACTTGCCTACGCTGCAATCACCAACAATCGATCGACTGCTGTTCATTTCATCGCAGGCAAGTCCTTCCCTTCTCTTGGAGCGTCGAAATGGCAGGATAAGCAAAACCGAGACGCATTCTCAGCCAACCGATTGATTGATTGAACGATCCAGCAATCGGATCGGACATTCATTGATTGGATGAACAACTCTGATTGGAGTGGAAAAAGAAAAAAATGAATTACAGTTTCATTTTCGTTTTCGTTATCCATTCAATCAATGAAAATCTCTCAATCACGCTCCACTCGTGGATTAAACGATCCAGATGTGGGTTCATTCGATTTCGCTCATCGTGTCGATGGGAATCTCTCAATAAACAAAAGCACTCATGTTCCACGAGTGGATTCATTAGATTTTGATTATCGTGTCAATTGATCAAACGTCACACCTAAATATTTCCCAAGTCCACCGGATTCGTTCCGATTTCGCTCAATTTGCACCCAAACACGGACTTGCATTGTCGCGGTTCGGGAGATGGGAATGTGTCGCCTGAGATGAAGTTAACAGCAATAGGACGGGACATTGATTGATTGAACGATCCGGTGCTCCAATCGGACAATGATTGATTGTTTGAACAGCGGCGGAGGAGGCGCGGGATTGGGGACGAAGTGGACATTCATTGACTGAACGTTCGAGTGCGGAAAAACAAATATATTAGCGCTCCGTTCTCCTTAGTCGATTTCGTCTTCCCTTCATTCAACCCAAACCATTTAGCCCAACATCCATCCGATCTCGTTCAAACCACCATATTTCCAAGTGCGCGGGTGTGTCGTCCTTGGATTTCTGTCAACTTGTGCAAGCGATCAACCGCGCAGGCAATCAATCAACAAAATGAATCATCAGCCAGATCGAAATGAGTCATCACCCAGATTGGAATGATTCTCAGAAAGATCGGAGTGAATCTTCAGCCTGCGCGGTTGATCGGCTGCGCAAGGTGAATCTATGCAAGGACGACACTCTTGCGCACTTGAGCACATGTGCATACGGGCACTCCGCTGGAGACGCGCGCATTGCAAATGCACACACTCGTTCACAATACAGGTGGTGGGGAGCAGGTCGCACCTGTAGGACACATGCGCATTGCATACATGCCACGTCATGCATCCACGAACGAAAACCTTCCGCATGGACATGCGCACATACACATGCACACACTCGTTCAGTCTATATAAACACATCCGCACACACAGACACACGGAGTGAAGAGCGATCGAATCGAAACGGACACGTGCCAACTCACCGAATGAACCCGTCAACAATGGACGAATACGCAAGCAGGTCGACGCGCACAGGTGGATGACCACGCGAGCAGGTCGACGTGATAGGTGGACGATCAAGCGATCCGCGAGGAATATGGCGTGGACAGACATGTGGAAGGTCGACAACGAGTGCGGTGCGACGCGGAAAGTGATGTGGAACGCAACGCGGAAGGTGAAGGAGGACGACGTGCGTTGGTGCGACGGAGGTTTGCCTCGTGCTGCTTGCAAGCTATGGCGCTCCGCCTGTGAGGGGCGCTGGTGTTGACGGCAATGCCAGTGTGAGACGTCCGTCCGGCAGCATCTCCCCAGCAAAAACTCAAAATACGGCCTGATTCCCACGGGCGCCGCTCGAATTTGTACACACGAGGATTTCAGGCCCCCACGCATAATCCTTCTCGGTCTTGCATGCAAACGGTCCGTGGGTCGCCGCACGACTGTCAGATTCGCGCATCGTGCGGTGGCGTGACGTCGAAATCCACCCGAGGGGGGGCCGGTGCGAACGTCAGGAAAAAAGGGCCCTGTGCGGACG